TTTTCAATTTCATTTAATTCTGCTCGAATTTTGGTTATTTCTTTTCTTCTGTTGGGTTTGGGGTTGGAATGTTCTTCCTTTTCCAGTTGCTTGAGATGTCCCATTAAGTTGCTAACTTCCTCTCTTTTCGTTCTCTTGAGGAAGGCTTGCAGTGCTATAAATTTCCCTCTTAGGATTGTCTTTGCTGTATCCCAGAGGTTCTGATAATTCGTGTCTTCATTCTCATTTTGTTCCAAAGATTTAGTAACTTCCTTCTTAATCTCATCTATGACCTAGCTAGCATTCAGCATAAAGCTATTTAGCTTCCATGTTTTTGTATGAGTATGAAGATTCCTATTGTTACTGAGTTCAACTTTTATTCCATGATGGTCCGAGAAGATGCAAGGAATAATTTCTATTCTTTTAAAATTGCTGAAATTAGACTTATGACCTAAGATCTTTGTCTGATTTTCTGCACCCTCCATATGACAGACTGTTGAAAAATACTCCCTCAAATCTCTGTGTAGATATTTTTGTATTTATCTCATTTGATGTTCTCTGAGCTTCCTAGATCTGTGGTTTGGTCTCTATCATTAATTCTGGAAATTCTCTATGATTATTACTTTAAATATCTTTTTCTTTCTCTCTTTTCTTTCTGGTATTCCCATGACATAAATTTTGTGCCTTGTGTAATTTTCATCCACTTCTTGAATATTTTGTTCCATTTAAAAACTCGTTTTCTCTTTCTGTTTCAGTTTAGGAAGTTTCTATTGACATACCTTCAAACTCACTGATTCTTTCTTAGCTGTCAAAAGCATTTCTCATTTTTCTTGCCACCTTTTTACTTTCTAGCATTTCCTTTTGATTCTTAAGAATTTTCATCTGTTTATATGACACGTTTGTCCTTGCATGCTGTCCACTTTTCCCAGAACATCTCTTAGCCTATTTATATGACATTTAAAATTCCCCATCTGATAATTTCAAAGTCCCTGCCATATCTAAGTCTGGTTCTCATGCTTCCTTTGTCTTTGTAGGCTGTGTTTCTTCTTGCCGTTTAGCATACTTTGTAAACGCTTGTTGAAAGCCAGTCCTGATGCATCAGATAGTAGGAAACAAGGTAAGTAGGCCTGTGGGTTTCAGTTTGTCTGGCTGGCAGTTAGGCTGTGTTTAATATTTGCTGCAGCTGTATATCAATTTTCTCTAATGCCTTTTTTTTCAGTCTCCACTGTTGTCTTTGGGTTTTCTTAGAAGCTTGCACTTAGACTGACATTTGAAGACTCTGTGTCTTGACACTTTCCGTTGTGATCTACTGTTATTATACTGAGTACTGTTAATATGGTCATAAGAGATTAAAGAGTTGATGCCTTCTAAAATCTCATGATAAGTTCTCTTTTAGTTGGTTAGAATCCCTGAGCTGTGGACTTCCAAATTTTCTTAACCTTTTTTTTCTCTTCTTATATGAGAAAGAAAGTCTAGAAGGAGCACAAATTGTCTAGTTGCCCTTTCCTTTTT